TGGGAACATTTTCTGGTTTGTGGGGAGATTGGTAAGGTGCAGGAGAGACTTGGGATGGTGGTGGCTGTGGACCTGGGGCCTTTAGGATGAACATGCGGTCGCCTGCTTGTCTCAGTGTCTGCTCAGGCCTCAGACAGAGCTGCCTTCTCGTCTGGGCCCTGGGCCTCTGAATCGGAATTGGAGCTTCCTCTGCTGAGGTTAGCCTCTGACAGCCCAAGACGGGTGCCACCTGTTGTGGCACCTTTGTGGCTTGGTGGCCTGAGTTGAGAGCTAGTGAAGACCTGGTGCAGTTAGGTGACCATGACCAAGCTTTGCATCAGACAGACCGACATAAGGACCATCCTCCTCAGCAGAGAAGGCTCCTTAGGAAAGCTGGCAGGAAGGGCTAATGCGTAGGCCAGGAACAACATTCGAACTTAAAGAATCCAAGCCAGAGGCCTTTGTCCTTCTAGGCATTCCACTAGGTGCCCCGGGGAGTCCCTCCTAAGTGCCACATTCCATACCAGGCACCCGGTATGCTCAGGTTCCCCATCCTCCAACTGAGCAGCAAAGACAGACACCCTGGTAAACAGAACTTGGGTGGGAGGCAGTAGAGACTCCCAAAGGGGCTCTTCCTAGGGCCTCTGCAGCATAGAGAAAGCAGTCTGTCCCACCTGCAAGTCAGAGGGGGCTTCCCAGAGGAGGTGATATTTGCTCTTGAGGCTTGAGCAGGAGTTTGCCAACTGGGAAAGGAAGGTCGTTTCTGCTTAGAGAAAGTGGCTAGGTACAGGGAGGCATGCAGTAAGGGATTGAAGAATGGGCAGGCTGAGGCCAGGGAGGGTGTGGGTGCCAGCCCCTGAAGTGAGCTTCAGCCTGGCCTCATTCGGCTCTTGAAATTCCTCCCAGCTCTGAGCCTCTTTGTGCCCGGAACACTCCAGTGGTCGCATGAGGTCTGGTACAGCAGTGGAGGTCAGGAGCTAGGTTCTGGAGGATGGAAGGGTGTCTTCTGGGCCAGCGCCACCCTCCCAGAGCCCGGGCTTGCTGGGAGGTGCTGGGGCCCCCGTGCGAAGCCGTGCCCAGGTTGCACACATCACCTTGGCAGTTTGTGGGCAAACCCCCTGGGCCGAGGGGAGATTGCACGGCCAGCCACTTCCTCCAGTTCCTTCCCTCCACCCCGGCCGTCACGGTTACCTCGGCCCCGTTGGGGTAAGGCTGAGGTGAGGTGACGCAGAATGCATGTTGCCCAGGGCTCTGTTTCCCCAGATGCAAGTCAGCCAGAGTAGCTGTCACTTCTGGTTTGCGTTCAAAGGAGGCGAGGGGCAGGGTGGTGCTCGGGCAGAGGCGTGTTGACAAGCTGCCTCTCCAGCCAGACGAGCAGTCTGTTGGGAGCACGTCAGGGAGTAGCTTGGAGGAGGTGGCAGAGAAGAGGAGGCCTGCCTTGCCAGGGGCTGTGTCCATGGCCTCGCGCCTGGGCCCTCTGTCCGGAGCTCCTAGAGCATGCTGGGAGTCCGTGCAGTGAAGCTGTTTGTGTTCATGGCCTAAAGCCCATTTGGCTGAGAAGTCTTGTTCCAGGCCCCAGGCCACACAGTCATTCCCCAGGTCCCAGAAGAGAGAGAACGGGCAGGCTCAGGGCAGGCCAGAGACTTTCCTAGTGGCCTCTGACTCTAGGTTGTCCTTGGCCCAGCTGGCCAGGTGTGTCCTCCAGATTTTCCTGGGAGGGAATGGACAGTAGGAGGCACCACATCAAAGCAATCCTGGTGCCCTGGGGCCAAGGGGTCCTCATGTCCGAAGCAGGAAGCTCTGAACCTTTAGGCTAGGAAGCTGAGCCTGAAGCCCGTCTCTACCATTTCCAAGTCATATAGCTAATTGGCCCTGGGCAGAGGGGGCCCTTGAGCCTCCATCATACCATCTGTAAAATGGGACACAATCTTGTTAGGCCCCTCAGAATCGGTTCCAAACTCAGCGGCCCTGTGTGCAATGGGATGCAGCCCTGCGCCCAGTCCTGCGCTGCCCTCCTCATTTCCAGGTCGGAGCCCACTGTGGCCACCACTGTGACAGTCCGTCTCCTGGAGGCTCGTCCTCTTCTTTGCTGACCCTCTCCTCTACCAAGCCCTCCCAAGACATGTCCAAAAGGCAGGGGCAAGGTCTTGTCATCTCTGCATCTGGGGAGCATTCAGACGGGGCTTCCCCCAAGACAGATGTGTTGGCTTTGCTAACACCATACTTCACAGGCAACCAGTTTCCCCTCCCCTTCCTGATGTCCCGTCAAGCTTCCAGGTGAAGATGAGGCCCTGGAACACCCTTCGGCTTGGATCAGGCACACCTTAGTCCTCAACATGACATCTTTGCTTTTAACACTTTGGTCTCTGGCAGCAGCTTGCCCAGTGGGGTACAGGACAAGCAGGTGTTAAACCATCCATGGAAAAACAGAAGTCGAAGAGAATGAAAGGCTTTCCCCTCCCACACAGACTTTTGAGGCCCTCTCCCCCCTCCGGGGCGTAATCGCACCTTCATCATAAGGTTGTGAGGATTAAAGAATAGGTATGTGAAGTCTTTCGGGAAATAGGCAATGAAGGGGCAGCTACTAGTGTTGGTCCCTATTAATGAGACCCTGACTGCAGCTCTGGTTCAGAGTCAGGGTTGCTGTCTGCCTCGAGCCCTGTGCTCCTTTCCGAGATCCATCTCCATGGGCTCAACCTGACAAAGACAACGTGAAAGGTTAGATGGGCACCTTAGCGGGCAGTGAGTTTTATGAATGGAGGAGGAACCGTGTTTGGTGGGGGGAGAATGGATGCATCGCTTGAAGAATATTATCAACATCCTGGAATTGTCCACATAGAAATTGTCTAAGTGGAATCTGTTCTGCTTTGTATGCCGGGCTTTTGAAAGTTAGTGGATTAAACCCCATAGGCATCCTTCGCCTCTCTCTCCATTGATTTTAGTTCACTTGTTGTTCCCTTGTCCCTGGGTTGGTCCTCCCCCCACCTGCCTTTATTTCTCTGTTGTTTTTGTCTCCGAATTGTTTATCTCACTTCTCTTATCTTTTAAAAAAATCATTTTATTAGGGGCTCATACAACTCTTATCACAATCCATACACACATCAATTGTGTAAAGCGCGTTTGTACATTCATTGCCCTCATCATTCTCAAAACATTTTCTCTCCACTTAAACCCCGGCATTAGGTCCTCATTTTTCCCTCACTTCTCTTATCTAGATAAACATGCAGAGCCATTAATAAGCACAAAAACCAGGCTAACCCAAACAAAATAACAAAGACAGTCAAAACCAACAAAACAATAACAACAAAAACAAAATAACAACAAAGTCACTGACAAAATTGGAAAAGCCCATAAACAGTTCAAGGTCTGTTTGTTGGCCTTAACTCCATGCCTCCCCACACCCCCATTCACCTTGGGTATGATTTTATTCTGGGTTTTAGATGCCTGATACCTGATCCCATCGACACCTCATGATCACACAGGCTGTTGTGCTTCTTCCACATGGGCTTTGTTGCTTCTCAGCTAGATGGCCACTTGCTTACCTTCAAGCCTTTAAGATCCCAGACGCTATATCTTTTGATAGCCGGGCACCGTCAGCTTTCTTCACCAATTGGACATCCCCTCACAGAGGGGTCACAGGGAAGAGATGCACCAGTCAGGGTGCAGTATAGCACTGATGAAACACACAACTTTCCTCTAGTTCTTCGGTGCTTCCTTCACCCCACTATCACAACCTCAATTCTACCTTACAAATCAGATTAGACCAGAACATGCACACTGCTACAGATAAGAACCTGAAACACAGGGAATTCAGGATAGCTATATCCCTCAGTGCCAACATTATCGTAGATATACCAGGAGGATTAGGGGAGCATGGGAGGGAAAAGGGGAATTGATACCATTGGCAAGGATCAATCTAGAACCCCTTTCCAGGGAGACAAACAACAGAAAAGTGAGTGAGGGGCGACAGAGGATGATGTAAGATATGAAAATAATAATAGTCTATAACTTATCAAGGGTTCATGAGGGAGGGAAGTTGGGGGAGGGAGGGGAAGAAATGGGGAGCTGATATCAGGGGCTCAAATGGGAAGAGAATGCTTTGAAAATGATGATGGCGGCATATGTGCAAATGTGCTCGACACACTGGATGAATGTATGGATTGTGCTAAGAGCTGTAAGAGCCCCCAATGAAAATATTTAATTAAAAAAAGGTTAGTGGAAATGCAGAGTGAAAAAATATATAATGGAATGTTTCCAGCAATGTTTTGAAGCCCACTCTCACATTCTCAACGAGGACACAAAGCAATTACAAAACAAAAAGGCAGCGTTGAAGGACTGAGTTTCTCCTGCCTATGTAATGCGCGGGATTTCACACAGGGCGGATTCCCTGGTGTGTCCTGGGTGCACCCTGCCTGGCGGTGAACCGGAGGCCGTGGCTAGCATCCCATGCAGGGCACTTTCGGGAGCCCCTGGGACATCCTGGGGGCAGAATGTGCAGACTCAGGGAGCCACGGGATGGGAAGCCGCCAAAGGAGAGAGCGCTCAGAGTTTGGAGGGAGTGAGAAGGAGGGATGCTGATGGGGAGGGAGAGAGGGGCGGGTGCCGGCATGCCAGCAAGAGAAAAGGGTGCGAACTTGAAGTTTATGCCCAGGCCCAAGGCATTTTTAAAGCAAGTGCCTGGTAGCTACTGGCCTGGACAGTTGTGCCCAGAGGGCTGGTGGGGTGCGGGCAGGCAGGAAGAGAAAACAGGGCCCCACTGCCCAAGCCTCCCCATTCCAGCCCCCGTCTATGGGAGTAGAAGCTGGGCCCTGGCTTCCTAAGACTCCGCCCCCTGGTGTGCCCTCCTTCTCAGAGGGAGCGGACCTGTGGACTGATTTGGGAAACAGTGCCATCTTCTGAGTCAGGAGCCAGTGGAGGGCAGACAGTGGGTGTACTCAGAGGGGCGGGAAGAGCTCACCATCTGTCTGTGAGTCTGTCTGTGTGTCAGGAGGGCCCTGACCGGTGGCTCTTTGCGCTCACAGCTCGATGAGGAAGAGGAGCGAAGGAAAAGACGCCGGGAGAAGAACAAGGTGGCCGCTGCCCGGTGCAGGAACAAGAAGAAGGAGCGGACGGAGTTTCTGCAGCGGGTGAGCCTGGCAGCTGGTGGAGGGGTTGGGGTGGGGGTAGTACCTGTAATGCTTGTGGCCTGTGCACTTCTGGACTGGGAGACATCATCAGGTGGCTGAGGAAGCAGTGTCCCTACTGGCATCTCTGCCCCACTCAGCCCTCCATCACCAAGCGAGGCAGGGCTGGTCCCCTGCCAGGTCCCCAAAAGTTCCAGAGGAGGTGCTGTTGCCCTTACAAGCCTTCAAGTCCTTTTGCACAACCGAGCAAAGCACTGGGCCCAGCCCTGGGCCAGTTGTGACGATTGAGCCCGTTGTTGTGGCCACTGTGTCCATCCATCTGTGGAAGGTCTTTTCACTGACACCCCCCCCACTTTACCAAGCATGAATGTCCATTTCCAGAGGGATTGGTCTCTCCTGACAGCATGTCTAAAGCAACAAAGTCTTAACCATCTTTGCTTCTCAGGAGCGTTTTTTGGCTGCACCTCTTCCAAGGGGGTCTCATCTGTCCTTATGACAGCCCATGTGCTGTCAGTCTTCTGTGCTGACACATTTCAGACACATCTTCCTTCTTCTCCGGCCTCTTCCTTATTCAGTGTCCAGCTCTCATGCCTATGAGGTCTTTGGAAGCCCCATGGCTTGGGACGGGTGCACCTCAGTCCTTGAAGGGACAGACTAACTCTTCAATATTGTCAAGAGGCAGGAGGAGCCACAGCCCCCTTGACTGAGTCCCACAGCCACCCACATTGGCACCCTGGTGGATCAGTTGCCGTGTTGGTTGCTAGTGAAGCCGGAGGACGGGACATGCCAGTCGGCAGTGGGCCAGTTAGTACTTTGTGTGCAGAGAACGGCTCCTTCTCTTAGGGGGCTCTTCCCATCCTGCATCCTATGTGCCCGCCCCTCGGCCCCTCTGACAACGACCCCAAGCTCCTTGGTGCTCCTCCTGGAGCCCCAAGGTCAGTTTCACATACTCAGGTCCTTCAGCAAACAGTTGCTTGTCTGCCGGCCGCTCAGGGCGGCTCCCTGTCCTCCCCTGGCAGGCACCAAGCAAGGCGTCCCTTCTCTCTCTCCCAGTCCTGTCTCTGCGGCCTCCTCTGCGTCACAAAACAGGGGCTCGGCAGTGAAGGAACGTGACTGGAAGCCAATTAGTCATTAGTCTAGACCTGTCATCTCCAGTCCCCCCAAGTGCCCCTCCACCACCTGTGTTATTACTAAAAAAGAACAGTGTCAATATATAATCACGACATAACCCAGTCCAACCTGATCCTGTAGGATGGACTAGAACTGCTCCGTGTTTGGAAATCTTTACAGGAACAGAGGCTGCATCTTTCTCCATCAGAGCTGCTCACCTGGTGGCTAAGCAGCCCAGTGAATAAGCCCCTGGGCTCCTTCACATAATGAATGGGTCAGGCACGTGTCTATAGTCTTTACTAGTCTCAGTGGCTGGCATTGGTAAAACTGGATGCACCTCGGAGCGCTATATACATAGTCTGTTTTATTCTCCATAACCCGATGAGGTGGATATCTTTGTTATTCGACAGATTGTGAAATTGAGGTGAAACAGTGTGGTCAAGTAACATGTCCAGGATCTCTTAGCCATTGGGTGGTAGGAGTGAGGTTCAAGTCTGGGCCTAACTTCAAAGCCTGAGACCTTGGCACTCTGCTATACTGACTCTCATCCATTCATTCATTGACCCAACAAGTCCAGCTCTGTGCTAGATGCACTGGGGCACGAGATTGACTAAGAGGTCCCCCCTCAGGCTCACAAGGAGCAGAGGGTGATCCTTCAGCCACAGGTGCAATCAGTGCAGATACCTGTGTGCTGTGAGCCACCAGGGCCAGGGAATAGCTGTTCTTAAATAGCAGGAGTTAAATGAGAGCTGGGAGACCCCCTGGAAGAGATGTACCACGCCAGGATGGAGGTCTTCCAGAAGTTTCTAAGAGACGGGCTTCACGGGGGCCCTTGAAGATGGCGTATCGTGTGGCTGGTTTCCTGGAAGAACGGTGCAAGCATGGCAGGGAATGGAGCCGGCCCACAGCAGATTCGCCCTCTGGGCCTTCGTCAGCCAGGAAGCAGGCCAGGTGCGCCCAGGTGGACACTTCCTTAGCAGCCAGCAGGCAGAGGAATGGCAGTGGCTGCTTGTCCCACTCCAGGCGCACCCTGTGTGCCGGGCAATTTACATGTCTCCTTTCATCCTACAAAAGTCCAATGAGATGATAGGACTCGTCTCCATCTTCGAGATGGGTCCAAAGCTCAGAGAGGCCACACGGCGAGTCAGTGGACTGCAGACTTGCGCCCCCGGGGGACAGCAGATGTGAGATAGCGTTGTGGCTGAGGGGTGCAGGATGGCCCAGGGAGCTGGGAGCAGCCTGGCCAGGGCAAGGAAGAGTTGCTTCAATTGAGACTGAAAGGAGCCACCAGAGCTACTAAGGTGAAGGGCAGGGGTGGAGGGGCCACCAGGAACAGCTGTGGCAAAGGCTCAAGGCACCGGAAGGGCCGAAACAAACATTGGTGTGGCCACAGCTGCGTGTTGGAGGGGCTGGATGGAGAAGGTGGGCAGGGCCCTGATAGGTAGACCGTACATGCTGCTGCACTGCCTGCGACAGTCCCAGCCTGTGCCTGTTGTCCGGATGATCTATCCTTCTCCCAAGTGTCCCCATGAGCGTGATGAACTATAAGGTCACAAAGCCATAGCCTGGGGCCTGGACTGAGCTACAAAGGGGGAGCAGGGAGGGCAGTTCTGTGGCTGGTGAGAGAAGGGGGCAGCTAAGGAGACAAAAGGCAATGTGTCACCTCAAGGTGGGGAGGTGCTGGAAGGGAGATGTGGGCGGGTCTGTCTGGGCCCTAGGCCATCTCTCCCCCTGCCTTTCACCTCTCCTGTTCCTCTCTGGTTTTGGAAAGCAAAGGCCAAGGTGAGGTTTAGGGCCCCTGGCAGCAGTCAAACACCCCGCAGACTGGCTATGTGAGGAGGGTATTCTTTAAGAGTGACATTTACAGGGTGCCAGGGTACAAAGGAGATATCTCAGAGGGAGCTTGGAACAGTGGGTGGAAAAATGGGATGAAAGATAATGGGGTTTTCCCACCAGCTTTTTGAAGGCCCCCCACCCCTACCCCCCATCTGCTGTTGAGTAGATGCTGATGTCTGGAGACCCTCGTGTGTCAGCGTGACGTGACGCTCCATGGCGTTCTCAATGGCTGGGACCTTCAGGCATTAGATGGCCAGGCCTTTCTTCTGAGGGACCCCTGGGTAGAATCAACCCCCCAGCCGCTCAGTGAGCAGTCAAGTGGCTCCTTTAAATGCAAAGAAACCCTCATGCTTAAAGTCCCATTGGTCAATCTCATTTTCTGGGGGGAAGCTGAGGCCCAGAGAGGGAAAGAGCCTTGGTAGGTCACACACCCTGTGCTTTTTTTTCTGTTTAGCAGGGTCAAGTAGCAAACAGAGATGCAAGCCGATCAATCCCCTTCCTCGTCAACGTGAACACCCTAGCCCGTGGTCCGCAGCACATGGCAAAGCAGAGGGCCCTGGTGGCGTAGTGGTTACAGGTTGGGCTGCTAACCTCAAGGCCAGAAGGCCAGCAGTTCAAACTACCAGCCGCTCCGCAGGACCGAGCTTTCTACTCTCATAAAGACTTACAGCAGCGGTTCTCAGCCTGTGGGTCCCGACTCTCTGGGCGTCGAATGACCCTTTCACAGGGGTCGCCCGATTCATCACAGTAGCAAAATGACAGTGATGAAGTAGCAATGAAAATAATTTTATGGTTGGGGGGTCACCACCACATGAGGAACTGTCTTAAAGGGTCGCGGCATGAGGAAGGTTGAGAACCACTGCCTTACAGGCGTGGTAACTCACAGAGGGCAGTTCTACCCTTTCCTATAGGGTCAGTCACAATGAGTTAGAATCACCTCGATGGCAGTGGGTTTGGGTTGCTTGAGCTAGTAGAGAAATGTCTACCACTCGGACAACTGAGGCTCAAAACAGATTCTTCCGTACGTGTACGTACGCAAGAAAGAAATACCCACATTGTAGCACCAACCAGTGCCTCTTTGAGACTCAAAACAGATTCCAGCAGATCGTTCAGACTCTTATATTACGATGTGCCCTCGCGGTTGAAAATCAACAAAGCATAATGCCATTCTGCCCCCAAGCCCCTACTGCCATTGAGTGGAACCGCTCCTCCTAGCGACACCTCTCCAGGATCTCTGAGGCTGTAAATCCTATGGGAACAGACAGCCTCATCTTTCTCCCTTGGAGCGGCCGGTGGGTTTGAACCACTGACCTTGCAGTTAGCAGTCCAAGACTTATCTGGCTGATCCTAAAAGAGAAAACAAAGTGCCCCACAACTACCATCCAGACTGAGGATCCCGCTTATTGCAGACAGGGCTGTGCACGGACCGAGCCGTACCAATGTCAATGACTGTTACCTGTTGGAAGGAGGGCCCCTGAGCCTCTCTCCTCAGCACTGCTCCATGCTGCGAGAGCTGATCTGGCCTTCCCGCCCCACACCAGGCCTGGCTGTTAGCCCTCGCAGAGGTCTCAAACCCAGGCGGGTGCACAGAGAGTTTTTTTCTAAGCACAGTCTTGCCACCTGGATTTCATCTTGATGTCCATGGGAGCAGTGTTGGCGGTGCATCGGCCTCTGAATCCTTCCCGGTTCCCTGGGCCGCTCACACTTAGAACTCATGCTCGAAGCCACGCCATAGCCAGGAAGCAGGTGTTTTCAGGAGGATTATGTGCCCTCACTCGGCTTGGTGAACCCACAACCCCAGGGCTCACACATCAGAGCGCTTGCTTCCTGTGACCTCCCTGTGCCTGCTCACTACCACATGGCCTCCATCCTCCTCCCAGCCTTTGACCCTCAGGCAAAGGCCACAGGAGCAGGGGTGGGGCATTTCCAAGGAGCAAGGGGTGGCTGGGGTGGACCAAGAGAGCTGGGAGCCAGGGAGATAAGCAGGCTGGCCACGGATGTGACCCAAGCTTGTGCCACCAGTGACCCAAGTGACAGGCCCGCAGAAGGTCAGCTCTCCTGGGCTCCATGACAGGTGCAGTGGCCAGAGCCCACCCTTGCCTGGTGGCGCTTAAAGCCCTGTCTCTGTTTGCACACAGGAGTCCGAGCGACTGGAGCTCATGAACGCGGAGCTGAAGACGCAGATCGAGGAGCTGAAGCAGGAGCGGCAGCAGCTCATCCTGATGCTGAACCGGCACCGGCCCACCTGCATCGTGCGCACCGACAGCGTCAAGACCCCCGAGTCCGAAGGCAATCCGCTGCTGGAGCAGCTAGAGAAGAAGTGACCATGGCTGGGAGGAGCGAAGGTGGCGGACGAGGAGGGGTCCACGGGCCCTCCCTGGATGGGGACGCTCGCTACGAGGAGGCCCAGCGCAGCCAGCATCGGCGAGCTCTTGGGTGAGACTCAGATCAGCCGACGAGCAGGAAGGCAGGCTGAGGACCCAGGGGGACCAAGCACTGAGACCAAAGTCAAGCCACCACGGGGGGCTGTCCTGCCTGGGACCTGGCTTGGAGGAGGCAGGAATGGAGGGACGCCCTGCCGGGCACATCTCTGGTCTCTCTATTGCCAGGGCACCCACCCAGGGCATCTCTGAGCTGCCAGGAAAAGCCATGGGTCAGAACCAAAAGGCGGCTGAGGCTGGGACTGAGTACAGCTGTCTCATGCCTGCCCCAGCCTGCCCCTGCCCCTGCCACCACTGAGCTGGGCTGAGGCGGGGGACCCCCGGCTGCACCGCCGGTTCCGCCTCTGCCTGGGCACCCCCACCCCACCCCCCACCGACCCTGCTGGAGTTTGCTGCGGGCACTAGGCGCAGGCGCCCTTCCGAAGCACATACTCACTCGAATGTTTACAGATTGGCTGTCCTGGCAGTGCTTTTAACTGCACATGGTTTTTATACTTTCTGGTTTTGTTTTGTTTTGTTTTGTAATATTTTTTACCAAAAAAAAAAAAAGATTTTATACAAGCACTATATATATGGATTTCTATAATCACTCGATGTGATACAGTATAAATATGCTATGGTTTGTTTGTTATGAACAGCTACCCACCAGTTAAGCTGTTGTGTGTAGTCCTAAGTACTGTAGTCTCTAAGGGGTGGGTGGGAGGGGTGGGCAGCCTGGCAGGGCAGGGGGAAGGGAGGGGGCGGTGCATTTCCATCCTTGTAAACCCTTCATAGTACTCAGTCTTGTATCTCTCAGTAAACGCTACTCTTACTTACCCCGCTCGCTGCCTCTTGTGATGTCTGCCTGGGAAACGGGATACCCAGGGAAAACGGGGATGCCTGGGGGATATGGGTGGGTGCCAGGCATATGCAATGCCCCTGCCCCCACCCTGTGCAGTGCTGGAAAATGTTTGGAACATCTGTTTCTAGGCCCCTGGTTCTCATATTGCCCATTTTCCAGATGAGAACACTGAGGCTGAGGGGAGTCAAAGAACCCTGCAGTTATCATCATTTGAAAGTCATTCATTCACTCCACAATGTTTACCAAGTACTGACTGTGTGTGCAAGGACCCTGGGCAGCACAGCTGACCTGAAGGCTGGTGCTTTGTACCTACCCAGCAGTGCCATGGAAGAAAGGCCAGACAACCTATAGATCCACAAAGATGACAGTCAAGAAACCCCATGGGGCAGGCCCACTCTGTACCACATGGGAGGGTGGGGGTGGGCTGCCATGAGTCGCAATCAACAGGCTGGGTTCAGGTCCACCGTGGGTATGAGACAGCTGAGGGCTCCCGGGGGATTAAACTGGCCTGAGCCTGCCCTCAAGAACCTTCCAGACCTGAGCCAAGTCCTGTGCTTCTGCATACATGGCCTCATTTTGTTTTCACAAGAGCTTACCTGCAGGGCAGCGATCGCCCACCTTTCACAGGTATAGGATTCGAGGCCCAGCCAGCTGCACCAAGCAACCATATTTTCCAGAGGACTTCTGATGTGGCAAGCATATGTAGTCCCATCCACTGCACCATGATAGGCGTTATCACCCCCCGTTTTACAGAGAGTGAGGCTTGGAGCGGTTACACGACTTGTCCTAGGCCACCAGCTAACGAGGCTATGGAACCACCTCTAAAGGTCCAGGGCTCCCTGCACCCCCTGTGGTTGAATGTCTCACTGCACCAGAAGAGGAAGCCAGAGGCCCCACTAATTTCCCTTTCCGGGCACCCCAGCTGTGTGATCATGGAGGGAACCGGGGAGCCGCCGGGGAGTGTGTGCCTGGCTGGAGGGACAGACACACCATTGCTGCCGTTTGTTGGGAACTTTCATGTGGTCTCATGCCCTGACCCTTCTGTGTGTTCCATTTTGCTTCGTGAACAGAGACTTTCAAAGGTTCACCCAGTTAAAAAGAGGGGTCCTTGGGAGTTGGACCCAGTTCTCCCACCTTCTAATGAATCGCTGTTCTTTCTCCTCCATCCCTGGAGTCAGGTAACTGGGGGTTCATAAGGAGGCTCCAGGTGACCTTGGGTTGATTCCCAAGTCAGGTGGGACATTCGGAGACCCTGCGCTCACCCAGCTCCAGTTTTTTCCAACCAGTACGGCCAGGGCCCTGCCTGCCAAACAGGACTCTCAGCTGTGGCCAGAGCCCCACACCCCCTCGGCTGTAATCCTTTAACATCGTTTGAGCTGTGAGAAACGATGATGTGGACGTTGAGGCCCTTCTGAGAGACCTGCTGGGCGTTCCCACAGGATCGCTGCCTGCTGCTGGCTGAGGGCCCTGGTCCCAGACTTGGGCCTCACCAGTCAGCTTCTCCGCTTTAGAGGCTCCTGACCATCCTCCAGGCTGTCTCCCAGCTTGGGGTTCTCTCATTACCATGACCACCACTCCTGTGGGTAACCAGAGGATTCATCATGAAGAATCAGACCCTGCTCACAGTGCCAAGTCGATCCCAATTTGTAGTAACCCCCAGGATGGAGCATGCTGCCCGCAGGCTGTCGCTCTTTATGGAAACAGACCGCAATGTCTTTCTCTCATGGATCACAGGTGGGTTTGAACCACTGACCTTTAGGATGAGCAGCTGAACTCTGTAACTCTGCCCCACCGGGAGAGGGGAGGGCGCTCACTTGTCTTAATCCTTCCTGTTAACCTCTCAGTGTTTTCTACCTGGGAAGTATCTTACGCAGGTCACCTCCATCAGTCTTCACCTGGAAGTTGGTGATGTAATCCCCATTGACAAACCAAATTCACTGCCCTGAAGTCAATGCTGGCTCACAGCACCCCGCAGGACAGAGTGGCACTGCCCCCGTAGGGTTCCCAGGCTGCACTCTGGACAGCGGCAGGCTACCTCACTGTTCTCCTGTCCAGTGGCTGGTGCCTTGAACTGCCAAACTTTGGGCTAGCAGCCAAGTGCTTTAACCGCTGCCTCACCAGGGCTCTCCGTTCCGTCCCTGTACGGATGGGAAACAGGCACAGAGAAGCAGTCACGTGCCCACGATCACAGGCCTCTTAGGGGGTCGGTGGTTCCGCCCCCTGGCCACCCCGTGTGCAGAGGAGAACGGCTCCCCGGGACTTTCAGAAACACGGTGCCAGGATTGTCTTTTGAGGATACATTACCACCGTGGTGTGGGCTCGAACTGCCCACCTTTGCGCCACCAGGGGTGCCCCTCTTGGGCGGTACATCCAGGTGCTGCTGCAGACAGTCTGAGCGAGGTGGATCCAGGCTGGGACCTGGTGTCAGCAGCAGAAGGGCTGCTCCTTGTGTGTGGTGGGACCTCCGTGCCAGCGGCACTTGTGTGGGGTCAGGAGAGACGGCACAGACACACACGTGGTCACAGTGCACCTGAGAATGCCGGCTGTCAGAGCCCTGCCACAAGCGGGGAGACAGAGGCCGTTGGGGGCAAATGGGCTGGAGGTCCAAGCTGCCCTTCCTAGCGCTGAGCCTCACTGTCCTTCCTTATCTGTAACGTGGGAGCGGACGCGATCGATCCAAGTCTCTCTCGAGCAGGTTTGTGGTCAGGAGCAATGAGAAATGGATGCACGGGTGTTAGGTCAGCAGCTGAGTGCTTAGCCTTTGTGCCCCAGGGTCCCTTCCATGATGATCCCACTGCCATCAAGTCAGTTCTGACTCCCAGAGACCCTATAGGACAGGGTAGCGCTGCCCCTGGCGGGTGTCTGAGACTAACTCTCTAGGTGCGTTGAGAGCCCCGGTCCTTCTCCCGGGAGCGGGCTGGTGGTTTCAAACTGCTGACCTTGGGGATCACAGTCCAATGTGTAACCATCACACCACCAGGGCTCCTCCCATGAGGGATGGATATGAGGAAATGGATGCGATGCAAGCTCAGAGAGAGGTGAAGAAGAATCTCAGTGCTGAGGCCGGTCAGAGTCAAGGTCCCTGCTTGCCCAGTTTATGGACGAGGGGCGCGGGGAACTGTAGGCTGATGCAGTGAATGGGGCCTCTCTGGACCAGACAGTGCAGCACTCAGCCGCTCCCGGAAAGGGTGAAGATTCAGTCCCACCCTGAGGTGCCTGGAAAGTGTTTGTGACGTAACAAGCTCCATCCCAGGGAATCCTTACTCTCTCCTTTACTGCAGAGAGCTGACAGTGAGCACGCAGTAGGATGCAGTTGACAACGCTTATTGTCTAGAGAAGAGTGGCGCTGACAGTCTCGTTGAGCACACAGTCTGGGGCGGGGGGCATTAATGCCTGGGACCCAAGGCCCCAGACAGCTCCAGCTGTGGTGGACCTGCCATGCCCTGCCTGGTCCCACGGCGCCTGCCTGCATCACCTCTCCCCAGGGTGGCATGAGCATCTGCTGAGCTAGCGTGCAGCAGGACCTTGGCCTCAAGACAAGACCCGTTAGCAATCAGAGGGGCAGAAATTCATGTGTTGCTCCAGGTGCCGGTTAAAGGGCATTTGCAGACACTGCCAGAAAACCCAAACCAAATGGGTGGCCCTTCAGTAGATTCCAGCTCAGGGTGCCCCCATGAGTTACCGAGCAGAATTGTTTCACGGGGGTTCACAGAAGGCGCCCGGTGCGTGGAACAGTGAAGCACTTAGCCACTAAAGGAAAGGTTGTGAGTTTGAATCCAGCCTGTGACTCCGCGGGAAAAAGACTTGCTCCTGTAAAGAGGACAGAACTGAAAACTCCAGAAGCCCTGCGGCGGAGTCAGTTCCATGTTGGGCTGCCGACCACAAGGTCAGCAGGTCGAAATGACCAGCATCAACTCGACAGCACACCATAGCAAACAGCTTTACCAAAGCACCTCGCCAGGCTCTCTATCGTGGTACCACTGCATGGTTCGCATCACCAACATGGGCACAAACTGCGTGTGCCCCGAGGGGCGTACCATATGAGGGGGTACCAGATGTGATGAGTGGGGGATAGTGCATTTGGAGTTCATTCCACCAGGTTAGAC